TTTTGAGAATCGTGAACCAGATACTTTTAATTTCTTGCTCTTTATCTCTGTATTTACCTATACAGTCAGGATATTCATACATTAATTAGGATTTTTCATCATCATCATCATCATCATCATCATCATCATCGTCGTCGTCGTCGTCGTCGTCGTCGTCGTCGTCGTCGTTTGCCAAGGCCAACCGGGCTTAATCCTCAGTCACATAACCAGACGAGAAAAATTAACATATTACGCTTTTAGAATGTGATGCTGAGGTAGAGTAAGACCCCGAGGCAAAGTTCCAAGGGCTATTCTTATCCTATGTCGTGATTAGGTGAGCCACGTGAGGGGGTGAGGGAAAGAGTGATGGTGAGCGAGAGGGTGGAAGTGAGGGGAGAGGGTGAGGGAAAGAGAGGGCTGGGTGATGTGAGAAAGAGAGGGGGGGAGAGGGGGACAGTGGAAAGAGAGGGAGAGGGTGGGGATGATGGGAGAAAGAGAGGGTGAGAAGAGAGGGAGAAAGTGGGAAAGAAAGAAAGGGTGAGAGTGAGGGGAGAAAGATAAGATGAGGAAAGTGGGCAATGAGAGGGTGAAGAGGGAGAGCGGAAAAAGAGAAGGTTGGAGAGAGTGGTAAAGAAAATGGTGGTGATGGAGAGAAGGGGGGAAGAGAGAATAGGGGGGGAGTGGGGAGGTGCAGAGGGGAAGAATTTGAGGGTGGGTAAGGAGGTGAGGGAAAAGGAAGGAGGTGAGATGTTTGTGTCTAAAATCTCACACACGGTGTCTAAGAAACACACCAGCAATGTCTAAAACCACGCCCACGATATATAAAAACCACGCCCCCGATGCCTAAAACTACGCTCACGGTGCCTAAAACCACGCCAAGATGCCGAAAACCACGCCCAAGATGCCGATAACCACGTCCAAGATGCCGAAAATCACGTTCACGATGCCCCAAATTACGCCCACGATGCCCAAAACCGCGCCCACGTAAATGTCAAATTTATGCTTTGTTTTTTATTAACTTTCTTGTAATACCTTATTTTCTTCTTTAGTGTACTATTTCCTCATCTTTATTTACTGTTTATTTACTCTCCATTGTATTTTATTTAGTGTCATATGTAAGGTAAGTCACTTTAATGCTACTTCATTCTTTACTTCATACACTTAGGTTAGCTAAGGTTAGAGTTGGGTAGGTTAGGCTAGGTTATGGTTGGTTAGGTTAGGTTAGGGTTGAGTAGGTTAGGCTAGGTTAGGTTACGATTGGGTAGGTTAGATTAGGTTAGGTTAAGGTTGCTAGGTTAGATTAGTTTAGTGCTATGGTTGGGTAGGTTAGTAGGTAGTAGGCAGCTACCAAACAGGGAGGTACTACCGCCTGGGAAGATATTGGAAGCATAATGTTTTGTCTATGGTAGACCCTGCTGCCATATGGCATCACGAAAATTGTGACCAAGTCCCAGGTTGCTCATCTATCTTTCTGCCTCATTTGCACACAATTGCATGGTCTCACTTGTCTCTCTTACTATTGACGACACAACAAATATAACCGTACTCATTCTTGACCTGCTTTATTCATTCTATTTTATTCTCCTATGTCAGTTGATATTAATATTGAAGCGGGGCCTTCTCAGATGAGTCTCACTGGTCGGGAAGGTTGTGGACCCCAGGGCCGACCTGATCATCATCAAGTGACTGGGGCCTCAACTAACGCCACCGCGGTTGCTGGAGGATCGGCTTTTTTCACACTTGATTTTTCCAACATTCGCGGCCTGACATCCAATTTTCCTTCTGTGGAGCACCATCTATTAACCTCTTCCCCAAACCTCGTACTACTTTCCGAACTTCAACTGTCCAAATCAGCTACACCCAAACCCTTTCAAGTCTCCAACTTCAACCTTTATACCTCCTTCCGTTGTAAGGGAGGTGTATGCGCTTACTGCAATACACGTACACCCATAGCTCTACTCACTGATCTTGAATCTTCCCTTTATGATGTCATCTGGCTCAATATATCTCTATCAACTGTGACTATTTTTCTTTGTTTCCTATACTGTTCTCCCAACTCTACCAACTATTTCGAACTCTTTGACTATCTCACTTCTTGCCATGGGTCGTTGCTATCCACACACCCCAACACCGAGATCCTTTACCAAGGGGATTTCAATGTACATCACAGAGAGTGGCTTGGCTCTGCAAGGGACGACCCAGGTAGAGCTGAGGCACTCCCTTTTTCCCTACTTAATGATTTGGAACAAATTATCAAACACCCTACAAGGTTCCTGATCGACACGATCAATTTGCTGACATTCTTGATCTTTGTTTTACTTCTAACCCCTCACACTATTCATACTCAATTTCTGTCCCCTTAGGGTCTTCTCATCACAATCTTATTTCTATTAAATCAAACTGGGCACGACCACCTCCACCACCCCTTCTAAATGTCAACTATGGCACTATCGGAGGGCAAACTGGCAATCCTTGCGAGAATTCTTCACAGGCTTTCCCTGGGATGAATGTTGTTTTTCCACTCGGGACGCCTCGGTATGTGCTGACGGCATTGCTGGGATTATACAGGGTGGAATGAGTGCATTTATCCCATCTTCTTCCAAATCTTTCACATTACAATCATGGTTTGATCTCTCCTGCTCTCTTGCATGCAGGGTGAGGGATAGGGCATATCGAGCTATGAAACTATCTCCTATTACCCACACCTCTTTCATTGCTTCTAGGAATCGTTGTAAGGCTATTCTTCGTAGGGGCCAAACGGAATTTTATAAAAAGAAAGACCTGACTAATTCTTCCTCTAGAAAATCCTTCTGGTCCTTAACCAAAAACATTTGTAACAACTTCTGCACTCCTTCTCTTCCTCCTCTCTTCCGACCTGATAACTATATAGCCAACTCTCCACCTGACAAAGCCAATCTCTTTGACCCCTTATTCTCCTCTAATTCCACCTTAGACGATTCCCACTCTATCCCTCCTACCCTTGCTCCTCCTACTGAACTTATGCACTTTCCTATAATCTCCACTCGCAGGGTTGCCGGTGTGTTACCCAGGTTGGATGTGAGTAAGGCGCATGGACCGGACGGAATACCCCCTCGTGTTCTGAGGGAGTGTGCTGAAGCTCTGGCCCTGTGCTTGCTCGCCTCTTTCGCCTCTGCCTCAAAACTCAAACTTTTTCTTCTTGGAAGCATGACTTGGTTCAGCCCATCCCGAAGAAGGGTGACCGTTCTAATCCCTCTAACTATCGCCCCATTGTCCTTACTTCATCCCTCTCTAAGATTTTCGAAACTATCTTGAACTCCCATTTTTCCGTCACCTTGAACGCCATTTTCTTTTGTCGGATCACCAGTATGGCTTTCGCCAGGCGAGATCTACTGGTGATGCTCTCCTATTGCACCCATCTTTGGTCATCCTCTCTTTTGGATTATGGGGAAACTTTCGTCCTGGCCCTCGACATCTCCAAAGCATTTGACAGGGTATGGCACAAGTCTTTGCTTTCTAATCTCTAGCTTCCCTAAAAACCGATCCATGGCAGTTGTTGCCAAGGGATCTATCTCTCGCTCTTCCTCTACCAAAACTGGTGTCCCCCCACAGGGTTCTGTTCTTTCACCTTCTCTCTTCCTTTTTTTTTATCAATGATTTACTGCACACTGTAACTAATTCTATCCATTCTTACGCTGATGATTCTACTTTACACTCTTCTTCACATTTTACCCTTCCTCTTAAATCTCAAACTAAATCTGTTTCTAGAGCTGATATCATTACTTCTATCAATGCGGATCTGTGCAGCATCTCTGAATGGGGAGGTACAAACTTGGTTAAATTCAATAGTAATAAAACTCGGTATTTACCAATTGCACTTTATAAATTAGATGATCTCCCACCAATTACATTTCAGGACGCTATCATTCTGCCAAATTCTGAAATAAATATACTAGCCCTCACCATTTCCTCTAATATGTCCTGGAAATCACACATCCTTAATATAGCTAAAGCTGCCTCCCGAAAGTTAGGGAACGCTGTACAGATGCCGTAGCTACTTCACTCCTGAGCAGTTGCTCCAAGTATAAAGGGATTCATTCGACCTAACTTGGAGTACTGCTCTCATATCTGGGGTGGCTCTTCTTCTGTCCAACTGTTAGATAGGGTGGAATCAAAGGCATTTCGTCTTATTAACTCTCCTCCTTTAATCGACAATCTCTCTTCCCTTTCTCTTCGCCGCAATGTTGCTTCACACTCTCACTTTTACAGGTACTTTAACGGGCAATGTTCGGTGGATTTGGCATCCTGTATACCGCCGGCAAGGCCGTGGGCTTATAACACACGTCTTGCCTGCAGTGCCCACCGTTTCTCAGTGGATGTCGGTCACACGAGAATAACCCATTATAGTTCCTCCTTTCCTCACACAGCCAAACTGTGGAATGCTCTGCCTTCTTCTGTGTTTGCATACTTATACAATCTGTCTCACGTAAAAAGCTGGTTTTCCGGCATCTTCGTGGTGTAGATTAACACAGTATATCATTGTTTTGTTTCACTTTTCAATTTCTTTCTGTTCTTATTTTTCGCCCCCTTGGCCCTGTTGTGGGTCGTTTGGCCTGTGTACGGATGGGGTAATTCCCTTAAAAAAAAGAAAAAAAGTTAGGTTAGTGTTGCGTAGGTTAGATTAGTTTAGGGTTATGATTGGGTAGGTTAGATTAAGTTAGGTTACCATTATTTGTTATTAATCATTAAGACATTACCGGGTAATCTCGTTTAGGTGTAAAATGAGCCCCTAGGTGTGTTTGTGATGCAAAAGAAAAAAGCTGACCAAAAAAGTATTTTATTGTTTGTTTTTTGTTTACTGGCTAAAGGGGTATTTTATAGTTTTATTACAGCAATTTTAATTTTTTTTTTCATCACTAGGTGTGTTAATAGCAAGAGATGCAGACGGACAGAATTAATATATGTTTCGTGAACTAGACGCAGTAATGTAGATATATGTATTTTACTCTCCTAGTGAATCACACTAATATTGTTTATCACAGTTGCAGGATGGCGATGCGAGGCATGAAGACCTCTGAGGGCTGGTATGTGAAGGCCACACCATCTGGGGAGCCTTACCCTCTGGATTCTGGTCTGGTTCCCAAGTTCCGCAAGGCTGGAGTTACTACACTCCCTGGGGCACTACAATATGGCGCTTCTGTACACGGCTCCAAGCCTTGTATGGCCACACGGCAGCTGCTGGATAGAGAAAGGATAGAAAAAAATGGTAAGACGTTTGAAAAACTTAAACTGGGGGAGTACACCTGGAAGACGTACTCGGAGGTTCAACAGTTGGCCGTGGATGTTGGTCTTGGGGTGAGGGTGAGAGGTCTTCAGCCGCTGGACCGTGCGGTAATCTTCGCCGAGACGAGGGCAGATTGGCTTGTTTCGGCCATGGGCTGTTTACAACACCGCATAACCGTCGTCACACTCTACACAACCCTGACTGATTCAGGTATTGCTCACGGCATTAACGAGACTGAGGTGCCTTTTGTCTTCACTACCTACGACCTCCTGCCCAGAGTCACGCGGGTGTTGTCACAGTGCCCGAAGGTGAAGACTGTGGTCGTCATGGAGGATCAATTGGATGGTGTTGGTGATGTTTGTAGCTTCCCAACAAATGTTAATTTAGTGCCATTCAAAGAATTGATCAAAACTGATGCCAAGTCGGCCAGTGTGTCCACACCCGTCCCTGATGCCGAAGACACCGCCATTATCATGTACACCAGCGGCTCTACAGGCACTCCTAAGGGTGTTGAGCTCTCCCACACGAATATATTGGCTAGTGTCGTTGCCTATTCCGTCCAGATGAACGTGGGTCTAGAAGATCGGTATCTGTCCTTCCTGCCTCTGGCACACATCATGGAGCTGGCCTCGGAGATAGCTCTCATTTCCCTCGGCGCCACCATCCTGTACTCTTCCCCCCACACTCTCACCAGCACCAGTCCTAAGGTCATGAAGGGCACGGAGGGCGACGCCAAAATGGCTAAGCCCACCGTCATGAACTCCGTGCCTCTAGTGGTGGACCGCATCATCAAAGGCGTGTCTCAGAAGGTGGAACAACAAGGTTGGATCAAGAGCTTGGTGTTCAACGAGGCCGTTAGGTACAAGTTCTGGCTTGAGTACATCCCATTCACATCTTACATCTTGAACCTGTTTATATTCAGGAGGGTGCAGCAGGAGCTGGGAGGTGAGCTGAGGAGGATGGTGGTGGGCGGTGCTCCATTGTCACCTCAGACCCACGACACAATGAGGGCCATCTTCGATATATCCATCCAAGTCGGCTATGGATCCACGGAGACGGCCTCCTGCACCAGCGGTATGGACGAGGACGACATCATCACTGGCCACGTTGGGGGACCTAATCTCGGGGTCCTCATGAAGCTGGTGGACTGGGAGGAAGGAAACTACAGAGTGACGGACACACCTAACCCTCGCGGGGAAGTTGTGGTTGGGGGCATTGTGGTCAGTAAGGGCTACTTCAAGCTGCCCGAGGAGAACAAAGCCGCCTTTTACGAGGAGAATGGGTTAAGATGGTTCCGTACTGGAGATATTGGGGAGATTAATTCCTTGGGTGCATTAAAAATCATCGACCGGAAGAAGGATTTAGTTAAGCTGAAACACGGCGAATACGTTTCTCTGGGTAACACAGAATCCAAGCTCAAGACTTTGTCGAATGTGGAAAACATATGTGTATTTGCCGACTCGACCAAAGATAAGACCGTGGCCGTGGTGGTACCATCTGCCGAGCGACTGTGGAAGGTAGCGGCCAGTGTGGGTATTGACAAGGACACTGTCACCATTGAGGAACTTTGTGCCGACGAGAGGGTAAAGGAGGCCATCTTGAAGGAGCTACAGAGTCACGGGAAGAAGTGCGGGTTGACCAGGTGGGAGGTGCCAGCGGCAGTCTACCTCACACTGGAGCCCTGGACCCCCGACACAGGTCTGGTGACGGCGGCGCTGAAACTGCGACGTAAACAGCTGAGTCACCACTATGAGCACAGAGTCCACGACATGTACTCCAGGCTAGACTAGCACTTTCCTTAGTGAGGAACCATCCTGGTTTCCTCTGTGTGAAAATTGGCTGCCACGTCCTCCTTGTCGGGAGGCAGAGCATGTTTTCATATGTACATAACACATATATGATAGGTTTACACTCTCATCTTAAACTTCCTCACATGAACTGTTTACTTCTGTCTTGCCACGTGTCCCCCCCCCCCAACACAAAAGCTTCCTTTATTCCATGTGAGATGGACCAAATAAGACAGTGCTGAAAGTGCAATAGTGATGATTTGTCTTAGACAATGATGGAAATCAGCTTTTTCAGTTCTCGCTGTGTCCAAAGGAGTTGTATTTTCTTGAACGTTTCCAAGGATCGTCACTGTTTCTCAAGGTCCATTAAGTACCTCCAGTTCTTGCCTTAGAAGTGATATTTTCATTTAGTGTGTATGTACGCAAGTCATAACCAGATATATAATGTACAATGTTCTCTGTAAATATGAAATATGGACAAGAATTTCCCGAGGGCAGATTATCACGTGTGATATATCATGTATTATGGTCTGGGTGAATATTGTGCACGGGCCATCCTGCCTTGGTGTGGGAAACGGTACATGATGGAGGGTTAGTTTATTAAGGAACTTCAGTGAGAAAGAGAAACTTCTTTGATTAGGTGAAAGTGTGACTGACATAATCAGTGGCGTCATAATTATTTCCTCTCAGGTCAGTGATGTCAGAGTTGTCTCTTCTACGAGCAGTGACATCATGATAATGCCCTTTAATGATCAATGACGTCATAATCATCAGCCCTGAGTGACTGGTTGTGTGTTGGAAATATTTTTTTTGTTTACATCATTCATAGCTATAGTCATCCACGTCTCCTCCCCAGGTGCTGTGAGCTGACGACACAACCACACCACCAGCAAGGCACTTATCATTTTTGTACATTTGCCTACTACAGAACACATGCATACGAGTATATTACTGTTCTCGAGAAGATTTCGAATTAGAGACAGAGGGCAATTTTTTTTTAACATGAGATACTTATTAGTATTCCGAGAGGGACATTGAGAGCTGGATTTTTTTTTTTTCGAAACTTTCGGGTTACTTTTTAGTAACTGGACGGCTGTTATTGGAACATTCGGGCGAAGTCTTCGGGTGCCTGCCTCTACCCTAATGATATTTCATCTAGTTATATATGAAGATAAATAGTCTTTGAAATACAATACATGCCAATCAAGATGATAAAATTAAGAACAATATGTTATATATCCTAATTATCATTTCCGAAGGAAATGGACATATTTTTTAGAGATCGCACTTCCGAAAATTTATCAAGTATTACTTTCCTGAAAACACCCTCTTGTAGCCTCAACAATGGTAAGTATGGCGGTTTTGTTTGGGATATATAGATGTAATACTATCTTCAATACGCCAATACATTACGTATATTATATATAGGAAAGATCCAAGATGAAGCAAATATGCTTGATAGCTTATGAACTTGGTTTATGACACAATGTTTGGGTAAGTAATTTTTTTTAAGAAGACACTTTTATACATTGTGAATATAGTTGAATCCTCCTGGGTGCATTTTGATTTTCGATGTCAATGCGGCATCCTACAGTATTTGCTACTTTGGATGCTGTAATGTTTTTCTCTAATATATTTCACTGTTTGGTTGTTGTTCCGATAGAGTCTAGGGATTACCAGTGTTAGTTTAGGTTACATTACATACCTTTAGAGGAAATGTTCGAACTTAACCAGCCCTACAGTGCAATTTAACTTACTCAGTTACTTTTTTAAGTAACCCGATGTTTGAGACTAATCTTTGGAATTACTTCCCCTAATGTTTAAAAAAAATGGCCGATAATGTTGATTAGATAATTAGCGGTCAAGTATTGTACAGAGAAGCGATCACGAGTCTGTAAGAATGACAGTAACGAATCTAGGGAACTTTGGCATCATGATAGCGATACTGGAATGTCCCAGGATAAAAAAATTTTGTGGCCTAGTGTGTATGTGTGTCTGTAAGCACTTAACACCGTTTTGGTATCAGGTGTTCGTGTACTGGAAACATGAAGGTGCTCTCCTCCATGTTGTTCTAGTATCGTGGTCAGTTGATTTGTACACAGAGGAATACTTGTGTCATGAGCTCGCAGCATTCACTGCTTTGGATTACTATACTATAGAATTTGACAAGTAAACCATTATTTATTGAAATTCATTTGTAGGGAAGTACCAAATAAAGCGTTGAAGTTGTCCTTTAATAGTGTCCACTGCAAAATGTGTCAGTTTGGTGACGCTGTATATACAGGAAGTGAGCCAGAAGAGAGCCAATTCGATCTAGATATTTATATATCCTTTGTAGATGTTTCTATTATTTCTTTATCAGGAATTAAACATTAAAAGGGGATGGATAGTTTCATTACGAGATTTAAAGACACTTTAGCGAGGCAGTTTACAAACATGTTCAGAAATGTTGGTGTGTTTATATAAACAATGAAAACAAGCCCATGTGCGAGGGTACTTAAGTGAAAGTACTTAAATGAGGGTACTTAAGTGAAAGTACTTAAATGAGGGTACTTAAATGAAATTTTGAAAGTGAGGGTACAGTATTTAAGGTAAAGTACTATAGTAAGGGTTGTTAAGAGAAAGTATTTCAGGAACAATATTCAAGTGGAAGTACTAAATGAAAAGTACCTAAGCAAAAGTACTTAAATGAAAATACGTATTTATCAAATTAAAGTATTTAAGCGAACATTTTAAAAGTTTTATTACTTCTAAGGATATCAGGGTCAAACTTGTTCCTTTGTTCCATTATGAAAGTTTGTAAATTAATTTATAAAAAGTCTATTTTAAACCAAGGAATAGTTTTATCCCGCCCAACCTTTCCTCTCTGTAGCCAAGACTATTTTATATAAAAAAATAATGTTTTACTTACAAAATTATTATGACAACCCAGAAAAACCTACGTGATCACTTACAAAACCACAACAGTGACTTAAAAATCAGTCCAGTAACTTAGAGAACCTATATAACTAAACAATTCCATTTAATAACTTACACAACAATAAAACAACTTTTGTAAACATTGCCTAAATTAAGTGTTTTCCAGATGGGCTGCAACCAAACTCACTGTCTCATTTCAAGTCTTTGGACTAAATAGCATCAAATCATCTCACACTGATACATACTTGACCTTCCTCTTACCATTCTTATCCCCCCATACGATATGAGTTTGTGAGCTCCCTATACTATTCCTCCTATACGGATTATATAATGTAATTTGCCCTTAAATATAGGGTTTATTTGAAAACTTATCTTCACAAATATTACCAATGTTAATGAAGTTGTTTTAGATGAACCGAAGGTATTGTATAGCATTATTTTTGGTTGAATCATTGAAGGTTAGAGTAATTTGGTTGAATACGTCTACAGTGCTTCTTAGGCAATAGATTGTGTGTAGTTGTATTTGTCATCCAGATATATGATACGTGGTGTTTAATATCCTTGAGTGTGATGACTTAACAATCTGAGTATGACGATTTATCTTATTGAATTAGATGACTTAATTACTCCGAGCATGATGACTAAACCCCTTGAATATGATTACTTAATCTTTTGAGTATGACTTTATCTTTTGAGTTCTGTCATAAACTTCAAGGCAATTTTAAAATTTTATCTTAACGGTTAAGTTATCTTACTCAAATGTTATATAATACTAAAAATAACTCGTCATACTCAAGGGGTTAAGTCATCGTACTTAAGGGGTTAAACTCATACTCAGTGGGCTCATTAATTATGCTCAAGGAGCTGGTCTCATACTGAAGGAGCTTGATACCTGTATGGGAGTCTCATAGCTTATTAATAGCTGTGTGGGAGTCTAATCGGTTATCAATAGCTGTGTGGAAGTCTAGTAACTTGTTCAATATCCAGCCAGATCACCCTTTACTTTTCTCTAGACACACCCACTCAGCCACAAAATACACAATGTGCTTCCTCCCCCTCGTCTGAGATGACTATACACGGGTTATTGCCACAAGTTAATTACTGAAGTGAAATTCATTTTGATATTGTTTATATGGTTATGTAAAGGTCATATTGTGTTAACTTATAAAAAATATAAGTAAATAATATCTATTATTCTTATAATGTGAAGGACAAGGAAATTTATGTGTTTAGTGTAAAATTGAGAGATGGGAGGAAAAACTTTTGAATAAGAAAGGCTGTTAAATCTATACATAGATATGCAGATGTTGAGGATGTTATGTTAAGAATGTTAATTTTAGTAGAATGTGGAACAAAACGGAATAATAAGTTATGTCATAGATAATAGTGTTCACCTTATGTCTTACTGAGAGTGTTGATGACGCAGTGAGTCAGGAGGGGCTAAGAACACCAGGATAATTAATGCCTTCTTCTCTTACATGTAAATATTGTTTCTTCTTACTTGTATAATGTATTGTATATGGCACATATAAATATATTGTTATATATCCGAGATTGGAATATGCTGATGGCATTCTTTCCTACTTTTTAATTCAATTCATCTTTTGCTTATAAGTACCAAAGTCTCCAATTTACTGGTAGTATTCTTCCGCCTCTTTGTAAACATCTTTTTATGTCCATAATATATACGAGAAATTAACAAAATTAATACAGCACGTGCATATGAGTATTTATATAGACATAATATATATTGGTCCGTGTGTGTGTGTGTGAGAGCGCGAATGACCGTGTTTACATAAACAAAATACCCAAAATGATATTATTATTATTATTATTATTATTATTATTATTATTATTATTATTATTATTTACAACTTGACTCAGTCTAAGAAAAATATTATTATACCTCCACGACCACGACCACTACCACCATCTCCACCACCACCTCCAGTATTTATGATATTCCAGCAATAATTGGAGACCTATGTAAGACCTAATAAAACTGATCACTCGGTATTTTTCTTGTGTGTTTTCTTATCCTATGAAAAAACAAGTAATAAAATTTGAGAAAAAAACTCCTTGTATTTAGAGATTGAAAAACTTAAAGAAGAAAAGTAGCAATGAAGTAGAAAATTAGTAATAAAGTAATAATGAAGTAGTAATTAATTATAAATCAGAATACTCACATAAAATACCTCCTGAATAATAAATAACAGCAAGAGAGGTTTAATTGTCTTCATCTGGCACCCACAGGCTACAGGGGAACACATTTGTACATGGTATATCGATATTGTAAACTTATGGTATGATGCTCTTTACAATAGGTATAATATAATACCGGTAAAGGCAATTAAATGTACAGGTATATTACAGGCACAGCGCAGCTAAATTATAGAAACAGGTATAATACAGGTGCAGGTATATTACAAGTACACTACAGCTATATTATAGATACAGGTATATCACAGGTGCAGGTATATTGCAAGTGCATTACAGCTATATTATAGATACAAGTATATTACATGTGCAGGTAATATTACAGTTGCTGGTATATCACAGGCACAGGTATATTACAGGTACAGTACAGGTATATTACAGTTATAGTCTCCTTCACTAGTGCGTTTACTTGGCCTCGTCATATACACATTCTACAAATCACTATATTTGAGATATCATTTATATTATTGTTTCAATTTGATTCCATGCTATGTTTACTATTGTGAGTTTCCTTCTGTTGAATGTAAACAAACACAGAGATGCCACACTGCATAAACCCTAACGAGCCCCTGAAAACGGACTAGTGAAGGGGACTGTACATTATATTACAGGTAAATGAATATTAAAGGTATATTATATTACAAGTACAGGGATATTAAAGGTACAGGTACATTATATTACAAGTACGGGTATATTACAGGTAGAGGTATGTTAAAGGTACAAGTATATTACAGGTACAGGTATATTACAGGCACAGGTATATTAAAGGTACAGGTATATTACAGGTACAGGTATATTACAGTTTCAGGTATATTTCAGAAACAGCTATATTTCAGATATAGGTACATTGCAGGTACAGCTATATATTAGATAGAGGGAAATTACAGGTTAGCTACATTACAAATACAAGTATATTACAGGTACAGCAATATTATATATACAGGTATATTGCAGGTGCAGGCATATAACATTTACAGCTACAATATAGGTACAGGTACACGTATATTACAGGCAAAGGTCATGAAAGAAGGCTGGTCAGGTATACAAGACAGGATATAGGTCAAGTTTACATAACAGGAGGCAGGTCGGGTATCCATGACAGTTATAATAAAACACATTAATAAATATATAGAGACGTTACTAGCGTGGCCGATTCATTACTTTCACTTAGTATTATATATTCTTAGGGGGAATTTTCTAAGCACCCATTCTAAGTACAACTATTTATTATTCAACTCAATGGCATGGAAACATTAATATATCATTTTATTTACGTTAATATACAATGACTTTCGGACACAAATATGAAATGGATACATTTCCCACCGTAAGTAACGCACCCTACGGATCGCTCAGGCAATGACTCATGTGTGCCCTGAGGGAGGTTCAGTGGCTGGGAAATGTCTGCAGGTGTGGCTGGACTCTGCTAGCTGGGGACTCGATGGGGGGAGTTTGGGAGAGAAGTCTCCCGAACTCGACTAGTAATGATCCTGACTCCTGTCTTCTTCTGAGTTGTGTCTCTCCCTGTCTGTTCCTGTCTGTCTCTGGGAAGGAGCTGTCAGCCCCTTCCCTGTATAATAGTAATTCTAATGCGAATGCGTCGTGGAAGGAGCTGCAGGCTCTTATATTGGTGGTCACAAGCGGGAAGATGTCGTCACTAATCTGGGTGTGTCTGACCAGGTGATAGGTTTACTGGCTGCAGGGTAGCTTCTTGAATAACACGGTCATGTCGCTGGGTTAGCTAATGATGCGGCGGTGAGAACTCGGGGTCAATATGGTCGTGACCTCTCTTGTGTCAGGTCTGGACAGCTGTGTTTGCCCAGGTACGTGGACATATCGCCGATCGGTAATGCTTCCTAACTATTACTACCCGGATGTGTCTAGCAGGTGTAGTTTCTTTAACAAGGGCATAACTCAGGTACCTCGAGTCCCTGACCTCTCCTGGGTCAGGTCTTACTGTCACTGTAAGGTGTGTCAACCTATGTGGGTTACCACATGGGCATCTACTTAATGTTATATGTGGTGTTCTTCTCTGGCCTGTAAGCTGGGGTCTGATAAACAATCAGTACGCAGGAGACAGGTTAGGTATACATGACAGGAGGCCAGTCAGGTATATATGACAGGAAACAGATCGGGTATACATGACAGAAGGCCGTTCAGGTATCCATGACAGGAGACAGGTCGGGGATACATGACAGGAGGCATTTTAGGTATACAGTATAGGAAACAGGTTCAAGTATACATGGTATGAGGCAGGTCAAGTATACATGGTAAGAAATAGGTCAATTATACATGACAGGAAGCAACTCAGGTATCCATGACAACAAGAGGCAGGTCAGGTATCCAACATGACAGGAGGCAGGTCATGTATATATGACAGGAGGCAGATCGAGTATACATGACAAGAGGCAGGTCGAGTGTACATAACAGGTGGCAGGTCAGGTTTACATGACAGGAGACAGGTCGGGTATACATAACAGGTGGCAGGTCAGGTATCCATGATAATAGGAGGCAGGTCAGATATACATGCCAACAGGAGGCAGATTTGGTGTACGTGATAACAGGAGGCAGATTTGGTGTACGTGATAACAGGAGGCAGGTCAAATATACATGCCATAAGGGAGGTCAGGTGTATATGGTAGGGGCCAGGTCAGGTATACATGAGAGGGGATAGGTTGGTATTCATTGGTATGGAGGCAGGTCAGGTATACATGGTAGGGAGTAAGCTATGAATACATGACAGGAAGCAGTATGCATGACAGGAGGTTGGTCAGGTACACATGGTAGGGACAGGTCAAGTGTACATAACAGGAGGCAGGTCAGGTATACATGACAGGAGGCAGGTCGAAAATACATGGCAGGAGGCAAGTCTGGTATGCCTGTCAGGAGGCAGGTCGAGTATACATGGTAGGAGATAGGTCAAGTATACATGGCTGGAGGTAGGTCAAGTATATATCACAGGCGGCAGGCCGAGTATACATGACAAGAGGCAGGCCAGTTATCCATGACAGGAGGCAGGTCATGTATACATAACAGGAGGCAGGTCGGGTATACATAACAGGAGACAGGTCATTTATCCATGGCAAGAGGCAGGTCAAGTATACATAACAGGAGGCAGGTCGTGTATACATAACAAAAGGCAGGTCAATTATCCAAGACAAGAGGCACATTTGGTATGCATGATAACAGGAGGCAGGTCAGGTATACATGACATTAGGCATGTCAGGTATAAGTGGTACAGAGCAGGTCAAGTGTACATGGCAGGAAACAGGTCAGGTATACATGACATTAGACAGGTGAGGTATAAGTGGTACAGAGCAGGTCAGGTATACTGTATATGGTACGGGGTAGGTCAGGAACACATGGTAGGGAGCAGGTCAGGTATACATGACAGAGGACAGGTCGGGTATACATGATAGGGGGCAGGTCAGGTATATATGGTAGGGTGAAGGTCGGGTATACATGACAAGAGGCAAGTTGTGTATACATGACAGGAGGCAGGTTGACTATACATGGAAGGAGGCAGTTCGGGTATACATGACAGGAGGGAGGTCAGATGTATTTCGTGAGAGGAAGGTCAGGTATATATGACAGGAAGCAGCTCAGATATACACGGCAGGAGGCAGGTCAGTTATATATGACTAGAGGCAGCAAGTCAGGTATACATGATATGAGGAGGTCAGATATACATGATAGGGGGTAAGTCATATATACATGGCAGGGGGCAGGTCAAGTGTATATAGGTAGGAGATAAGGCAAACATACATGGCAGGAGGTAGGAAGGGATACTTAGTAGGTCAGGTATACAAACAGGTCAGGTATATATATATTTTGGGCTTTGAAACAGAAAGGCGACCACAACGCGTTGTGATTGTTTGAAAAATAAACAAGTGACATTTTGCTATAGGTTAAGTTAGGTTAGATTAGCTTAGGTTAGTTTGGATTGGGTTAGGTTAGGTTATGTTAGGTTTGTTTGGATTGGGTTAGGTTAGGTTAGTTTGGATTGGTTTAGGTTAGGTTAGGGTAAAATCCAAGACGCAAAATTTCGATTTTCTGGTTACTTTTCATTTTCTGAACCCAACACGCACACACGCATATATATATATATATATATATATATATATATATATATATATATATATATATATATATATATATATATATATATATATATATATATATATATATATATATATATATATATATATATATGTAACCGGTCGGAATTTACTGGACTTTAATTTCTCACTTGACTTGGGGTTTATTAAAAATTAATAGATGGTAATGGCAGTGGAAGCGCCCCTTTGAGAAAAATCCCGAACCAGCACAAGAACACTTAAATCTACTAAACAAAATGAATTGTCCGTGACCCGTGGAAGGATAGCGTCTGTGACTGGGATGAATGAGACACACTGTAAAATTTAGACACTTATATTCCCTCCAACACTACAAACACAATCAAATAATGGTACACCAATATGCGCACCTCTTAACTTGAACTTAAAACACTACTCTGGGGAATAAAAGTTATACATGATATAGAAATTATTAGAAACTCAGGCAACAATAAATTTGCAGTATTAAGAAATGTTGCTTGCACACATGAAACAGGCCTTAAGGGCTTTCAACAAAATAATATCAGTCACTGAGGAAATGGTAATAAAAAATAAGAATTTAAATACTCTACAATGAATAGGCCTTAAGGGCTTTCAACAAAATAATATCAGTCACTGAGGAAATGGTAATAAAAAATAAGAAATTAAATACTCTACAATGAATAGGCCTTAAGGGCTTTCAACAAAATAATATCACCCCAACAGATGCACACTTCCTAACCTAACTTAACCACTACTCTGGGGAACAAGGTTATACCTGAGATCAGAATTATGAAAAACAATTAGATGCATTAAAAGAATCAAATCACAGTATCACTTTGGTTCCACTTAATGGCACAAACATTCATAAACAATATTATCAAAATTATCTAGGAACTATTAAACTACACACGTCAAGATAATATCAGTCTGAGGAATGGTGTTAACTACACCCGTAATAAGGGAGGGAAAATGTTCCTCTGGGTATCTCCTAGAGACCTAGACTCACGGTCTCAGTGTGTGACCATTAGTTTACTCAGATAGCCTCAGTGTACTCCCAGTGCGTCCATAAAGCGGAAGGGAGTGAGCCAATCAGACCTTGTACAGTTGAGAGAAAGTTTAGCTTCCCGTTAGCAAGAGGGTTTCACTAAGCTGCTCGGGACATGTGGTGTTGTGCACCCGAGTGGTAAGAACTGATCACCCACTGCTGATGCTGGTCCCGTGTCGTGTTAGTTGTCGGGAGCACTCGTTCACTCAAGAGATCCTTTGCTACCCCGCTAAACAGTGACAGGCCTACACTGATCGGTCCAATGGCGACAATCGCCACCCTCAATCATCAACGGCAGTCTCAAACGGCAGTCAATCTCTCGCAGTCAACTCCGGTCAACTCCGGTCAACTCCAGTCAAGTGGGTTCTGACGGAAACCCTGAAATGAACTCACTGTTAACTCTAGTTTACTTTACCACTGCCCTATCTAACCCTGTCTGAGATCGAATGAGACTTACTTGTTATACTGCAATAGCGCAGCACAGGTGACTAGGCCACGTGACTATTTCTGTGACGGACGCGCAGGGACGTCTTGTTTTGTCTGAATGCTCCCCGCGACTGAGGGCCAGCCAGCGTCGCGTCCTCCCAAGGCGTTAGCTTATGCCTACGTGACATATTTTCCGCCTAACTAATAACTCCTTGGGACACCCGTAACATTATTCAGACTGATAAACGATCTATAATAATTTCAAATTCAATAATAGTCCCTTACTTCATGAATCGCATCATTATTAATTCGGTAAATTACATTTAATATCATATAGGCCTAGTTCCGCAATCTCTCGCTATGAGCAGGCAGCGCTCTCTCCCCTCAGATGACCTTGAACGCTCAGTATCGCTAATGGCGGGGCATTTGAAATAACTCTGAAATTTCTGAATATTACATATATATATATATATATATATATATATATATATATATATATATATATATATATATATATATATATATATATATATATATATATATATATATATATATGTATATGTATATATATATATATATATATGCAAGTAATTCACTGTAGGTGCACGTAATCCAGGTATATGCTGATAACCACAAGGAAACAAGAAAACACGAAGTTTCCATGCGCTTTCGTGTAATTCACATCTTCAGGGGTGAGTACAGACTTAGGGCCGGATACTCAAAAAAATTTATGGGACTGTATGTCGTTGTGTACCCGTAACTGGACTGACAGTCTCAGATTGGCATACTCAAAACACAGATGGTATACTCAAAACCAATATTTGACATCGAACTCCGTAAGTTACCGCAAGTAACTTACACCAGCTCCCGAGGTTGTGTAACACTCTCAACCCGGATGTAGTAGTGACTAATTCCCGATTGTATAGAAAATAATAATAATATATGTTGTAATAATGCTTGTTAGACTTGTTTTATCATAGAATAATGAAGAAAATGTTTCGTACATCAACATACTGAAATATAATATTTCACTTTGTCTTTTTCGTAACTTTTTTGTTGTATAATGAGCGGCTTAAGTGTTTGTGTTTGTCTCAGTTTGGAAGAGGCGCATCTTTTGTCTTCTTACACATTATAAAGTATTTCTTACCAAAATAGAAGGTTTGTATTGTTCACACTTAGGGTAAAAATATGTTTTATGACTGAGTAAACTTGCAGATAGAACTTATTAATGTTGTATAGCCATAAATATCCCTCAGTAATGAAAGCCAAATATGAGGTCAAGTGAACATTCCTGCCAAGACTTCGCCTTGTTTTTCTAATATTGAACCAATAGCCTTAGCCTATTTTCTTATGTATATGGCTTATGATAACATGAAAGGCTATAAATTTCCATAGGCTAGCGAAAATTAAATGATATTAGGTGTAAAATATGGATTGCAATTAACTTGATTAATAGGTGCCTATATAACTGCTTTTTCAGTCTTAGGCAAATAAATGTTTAAACATGGGGCCTACTTAATTTAGTTAGAACATGAGGATTATTTAAATAAGAAATTATACTAATAGGGTATAGGTTAGATAGGTTTGGTTTGGTTATGTTATGTTATGTTATGGTATGTTAGGTTAGAGAATGTGTACATGGTTTTTTGGTGAGCGTCAGGCCGTCAGTGAGACACTTTGTCTAGCAGCTACCTTAGGCCTAGTTCCAGACTTTCCTTGAACATTATCATAGGTAGAGTATTAATTTAAGAAAATTTACGGCTAATCCGATATATTTTCAGGTTTTAAATTGTTGTTTTTTGTATGAACTTGAAGACAATTCAGACCAAATGTTCCCAACATTGAAAGGAAAACACTAGGGTCTAGGCTAAATGAGTAATTTAAGAGAAGTGATTTGTCATTTAGGTTAGGCAAGGCTATACTATCATTAACCAATTTATTTGAATTTGCCCAGAATAAGGCTATCTTAGTATAGCTTATGTGTCTTGTCACAGGCCAACATTATGCAAGGGATTATTTACCTAAATTCTAGTGGGGTAAAACACCAAATACTATGAGATCTCTGTTAGCCCGAACAATTGGTGAAGAGCACTACCGTGAATGAATGAGTGTTTTCCCGTTAACGAGACAGTTATCACAAATCAAGAAAATATCCCTCATCCCCAGAATGTTTATGGTAATGGAAAAATTTTCTCGGTAGTTCCTGCAATTGCCCATTACATCATCTCTCGAACCCAGAAATATATCCCCCATCTCCAGAATTTTCTCGGTTATCTGGGAAACTTTCCTCATAGTTTTCAGGAAAATCTGCCTCTCTGAAAGTCATTTACCTAAGCCGTAAGTTTCCTGCAAAATCATGCTTTGGGAATTAATATTAGATAAAATTTCAATTACGGCTTTCAGAAAGTTCCGGGTTTCAAGGATTCCGGCTAACGGAGAAGGCTGCTGTTCCTACCAGAAATCAGCTTCAAATGCGAGTATGTGACAGACTTTGAGGCAAGAGGATGTCTTTTAAATGCTTTTAACACCCTTATTTACTTTCTTAATGAACAATTTTTTTCAATTTTAAATGAATACAGAGATTTTAACACGTTGTGCATTTTTCAGTATTTTACCCCAAAGAGCCAGGCAAAACCTTAAGGCTGTAATTTTTGTTTTTCACAGGCATAACCCTTCTATTCTAGGCCTAATGATAAAACTTTGAATTAGTTAGTATCAACATAAAAACAATACTGTAACAAACTTCTAAACCATTGCATAATTTTTTGTCCTGCAGATTGATCCTGTAACACTTGGACCTCATTTTCCAGTTACCCTGCAATGGATCTTGTTGTAGCTTATCTGCATGATCGAGCTTTACGACGTGAACGAAGGTATCGGGACCCTTTGGATCCCATGAATATAAGCGATAAAAATCTAATTAGATATAGGTTTCCTCGATGTGAAATTCTAAGACTGTGTGAAGATTTAGATCCATTTTTAAGGCGTAGAACGAGAAGATCTCATGCTGTTCCCATACACACGCAAGTGTTAGTTGCCTTAAGATTTTAAGCCAATGGAACCTTTCAACATGTACTTGGTGATACAGCTGAAGCTGTAGCAGGGACAGGCCAAGCAGTCCGAGCCAATGTAGTCCGTAATTGGTTTACTTGATGAATTAAAATCAAATATCAATTCACCAATACATTTTTCCTCTATGTTTAAATAGTATTTTTTAGTGCAGTATACAGAGGTAATGCGAATAAAGCGTACATTGATTTAACTTTTATTTTCAATATACTGTACATAATAAAATAAACTTCTTTATAGAAATTAAATGGCTTTCTTTTACCTTAATAATATATGTACTATATCCTTGAGCAAATTTGATTCCAATACAGTATACTTTTAATACTACTAAATACCAAAGGCACTAAAGTTTGTTAAACAAAAAATCCTTATATAAAACATATTTGAGAAATTGAAACAATAAAAAAATATTGCTACTGTTTGCATCTTAAACTACACAATTTGACATGGGTCACCACATCGTTGTGAAATAATAATACAACTACTGTTATTTGTTGCCATTTTTTAGATTTAAGAATGGAATACAGTATAATTTTCATATGTCTAGAATTACCTGCATCAATACCCGTAAATTAAAAGAAACTTATAACCCAATACTGTACTACTACAAGTAATAAAGAAAAAAATAGAATACTCTTTGCTTGTTAAGCTATAAAATGTAACATGAGACAGCACATCCTTATGAAAGAACCAATGCAACAACTTGCGCTTTGGAGACTAATGTGTGTTAAATAGCAGCGATTACAGTAGGCTGTTGGTGAATTTGCACCATTATTCCTGTTTCAACCTACTTGAATCATACTTCGCAAACTGCAAACTAATAAATAAAACTCGTTGAACTGGAAATTGACTACGTCTTACAAAATAAAGGAACCTTTAAAAAAATAAAAATAAGTACATAAGCCTGTTTTCAAACATATAATTTTGAGTGTGGTAGGAACTTTTACCCAAAACCTGGGTAAACATTACCCGTAGTAGCACTGCAACACATGTTATTAGTTGACAAATGTGTGTCTTTCACTTAACTTCGTGATTTTAATGAACTTATGGAGAGCTAAATATTCTTGTTACATTTTCATGACTAGTATAGGCTGCAAGTGAAAGTTACACAATTTTTTAACATGCCGTCTTCCTTCATAACAATCACTCAAAGGAAAATTTATAATAAGTGTTTGATGACTTTTCAACTACGCTATTATCACATTTACCAAAAGTAAAGGACTTACCTAAGTAAACAACTACATATACACATACCATAAACACAGCATCATTGGATAGGATTTTTCGACTGCATAACTTTTGCAATGCATAGCATTGCAGATGCAATGCACTCGGTGTTAGCTACAAGCTGTAAAAAACTGTCCCTCATTTGTGTTTGAACACGAAGCATCTCTCGAAGATCTTCATCTTTTCGGGCAGAAGAGGTTCGTGGCCTCCTGCCACTTCTGCTCGTACTTGGCATTGGAGATGAACCCATTTCATCAGTGTAATCACCAGTTACAGTTGACCTAACAGCTGTGGCAGAAGGGGTACTAGACCTACTTCGATGTTCCGTGGTAGCAGCAATAGGTTGACGAGTATTGCTTGAACTACATGTTTCTACCTCATATGTTCCGGATGATGAAAATCCAGGAATGTTTGTAGGTGCTGAAGTTTCAGGTTCTAAATGAACAATGGGTACTGTGATATCATGTTCCTGTATATCCTCATTCAGAATGCGGGTTATAGAATCATCTTTCTCTTGAACGGGCCGAAACATAAATTCCTCTCGGAAACAACTAGCTGTAAACCTAGTTCCTGAGGGTCAGGGGGTTGGTTCTCTTTCTTCTTCTGGAAAGAAATGTAGTATAATAGGTTGATTGAAGTCTATGTTAAGAGTATAATTAAAATATTACACTGTATTTCCAAATATACAAAAGCTTTTAGGAAAAATAATGGTTTGAAAAATAGTGTTGACCATCTAAATATATTTGTTTAAAATATTTTTAAATCTAAATATCAACTAGGCGTTAAATTTCTTATATTTGCACTTCTCAATTTTGTCCATTAACATACGAGTTATAACAACATTTAATATATAACTTAGGGAAGCAATAAACAAGCTAGAAATGAAACCAACTTACTAGTGTTGTTATTTTTCAAAATTATATAAAAAATCAGTATACTGTACAGTATTTCCAAATCAAGATGTGAAAAAATGTCTCCAAAAGTTTTTTTTAAATAAAAACAAGGACAGAAAAGAACAAAATATATCAGGGGGTTGGAAAAGTATTTTGACTGAATTACCATTAATAGGTTCTTCACTTTCAACATCCCCTGGAATCCCATGTATAGAGGCTGGATCTAATAGTTGAAGAATTGCTTCTTCAATTGCAGTGTATGTAATTTCAATTTGGGGGCCGCCACCTTGAAGAGAAAATATAAATAATAACTGTCTTACTGTGAGCTGTGGTTACATACACTATACGCTAACTATGTTATATTTGGCAGAAATCATAGTTACAAAGGAATCTACTGAAATAGTTCCAAACATTATAACCTAACCTATCATTGTAGCTGTAGCCACAAAAATTCTCCTTTATCTATGTCAAAAGTTAATTAGATTTAAGGTAACAAACAATAAATGGTAAAATAAGTCAAAAAAATAGTCGCAGCCAGAAATTTTCAACCTGTATTAGTTGTAAACTCATAAGATAGAATATCCTTGCCTATAAGCCTAACAAAGTAAAATTTACATATTAATGTAAACCAAATATGAATATAAATCTATTGATGAATGAAAATTAACGACATAAAAAAAGGAATTCTATGGCAACTTATACATTATGACCTTCATTACCGTCGGAAATAACGTAATTATTAATATGTAGTTTATAACAGTAACCAAACCTACCTAACCTAGCTTCCTTTACCAACGGGAGGCCTCCGCCGCCCTGCCACACAAACTCATATTAACTATCTCTGTTCCACGTCAGTTGCGACACAATGACAAGTGTGTCTTAAAATTGTGTAATCTATATGATAGGTATAATAAGAAAATCCAAAAGTTGTGGGGAAATTATTAACAGTAGTACAGACTTCCCTGACTACCGGGTGGGAAGATATTGGAAGCATAATGTGTTGTCTAATGGTAGACCCTGCTGCCATATGGCACCACGAAAATTAGGAGCAAGTCTAAGGTTGCTGATCTGACTAAATGTGTCATTTACACACAATTGCAGGGTCGCAATTGTTTCTCGTAATATCGACAACACAACATACATACTGTATATTGATTCTCACTTTTTGTGTTTTCATTTCGGTATTTATGGTTATTTATTATTAATATTATTATTAATAAAGAGGTATTTTTATTAATAGTACTAAAGAATTATTATTACAGGCCCCGACGTGGGTCAGTGACTGTGCCTGGGTTGGTTAATCCACGTAAAAAAAAAAAAAATTTAGGTTGAACGGTAAAGTTTTTACTATTTACTCACACGGAAAACTTCGAAGAACGATGTTTCTTTTAATGAATGTGCTCATATAAGGAAAATATGTGTATTCATTCACGATGGAGAGCCACCACACTACTTACTTCCTTGAGTTTACAAACACGTAAAATCGTACCAAGCCTCAGAAAAACCATAGTTAAGTTTGTTTCATATTGTCAATCAATAACCACGCTAACAATATTATGACTTACCTGTTCCACCAGCATATTTCTTATCTTGTGCTGCTTTTTTCTTAACGCTAACACGAAGATCAGAAAACTTCCGCCGAATTTCAGTAACATTGCGGGTGACTCTACCAACAGCATTCACCGCATTTAACACTTCACCCCAGGCATGGTTTCTGAGTTGAAGTGTACAACTACTTGAGTCCAACTTCCCTAAAATCATTTCTTTTCGTTTGGCTACCTCAGTCACAAGAGCGTATACTTCAGCCTCACTGAAATTAGGTCGTCTCTTCTTGGCTGGTGGTCCTTCCATGTTTACAAAATAATATTACGTGCGTCGCTCTCAGCTGATTTCTCCTTCTCTTGTGATTGTTTGATGATTTTGTTAACTGAGCGTTGATTGGACAACTAGCATCTGCACTGACATCTACCGTCCGACAAGAGAACTTAATTTACAGGGTAAACACTAGAGTTACGAGAACTTACGGAAGGCTTACGGAACCATAATTAAATTTTGAGTATGCTAAATTTATGGTAGTGTAAGGCTTCCACAATATATGGTACTGTATCATGCTGAAAAACGTAACTTATGAGGTGTTTTGAGTATCCGGCCCTTAGTCTGTACTGGGGATTCCGGGATCCCGGGCGTAAGAGGTTATGTTTTTTTTCCCTGGAATTTGGTTTAAGTTCCGGGATTCTTATTGTTATTCCTTATCCCTGATTTGCACTATGTAAAATACAAAAACGCATGAAAGAAAGAGAGAGAGAGAGGGGGGGGCTAGAGCGAGTCTGACAGAAGTGACGCGTACCGTTCCTGTACACTTCTGGCCTTCACCACGTCTTGCTTGTGCATTGGCCTTAGTCGTGTTTATCTCCCTGCAGAGTGCAGAGGTGCGTTGACTGTCGAGTAATCGGTCTATATATGATGCCAAAATACAAGCCATGTTAAAATGGTGGATCTTGGCTTACATGATACTTCACTAATGAAGTATGTAGGGTTAGCATATAGCATTAGTTCGTACTTGATGCGGGAAATCCCGGGATCCCGGGAAATATTCTGGTTTGTCCCAGAATCCTGGGATGCTAAGAAACCCCCAAAATAGGAAACCCAGGTCAGTACTCACCCCTGAAGATGTGAATTACACGAAAGCGCTTGGAAATTTCGTGTT